TGTTTCAACTACACCATAGGGAAGAGATTCCCTAGCCTTTACTCTTGTATTTTGAAGACAACACCTCACATGGAGGACTGAGGTTCTCTGCTTGATGTATTTCATTGCAAATTCCTAACTCTAAACATTATCCCTCAATGTGTCTATGGCTTATGTGTATAAGGGAGTGTCACTCTCCCTAGGAATGATGCAAGAGATGGGGCAATGAAATGGGGCATATGAAATGTACAAAATGTGTGTAATGTTGTGAACAAAAGTGCTCCCCAAGCGCAAGGAGTTTTTTGAATGTCGTGTTTTAATTGGAAAAGTATTCCAAGGTCCTTTCCACGGGGAAGGATATGAACCAAAGGGAAGATGATTTTTGGGTGAAAGAAAGTGTAAAATCTTTTGTTGTTGAAAGTTGTTTGGTGAAGTGTTTTGGTGAAAATGAAATGAGAAACAAACGTTGGCTAATCCAAGAGATAACTCCAATTGGGATACCATCTCAACTCGAATCCCTCCTGCAATAGAGTATAAATATTCAATTGATTTGTGGGAAGCTAGGGATAAGATGGGTGAGTATCTAAGCATAAACCGTGACTAGGCCTACGAAATATCAAAGACTCACCAACTTATTCACCCTCCACCCAGTCAAACTAAAGCATTGAACTCTGAAAGAAAGGAGGAGAATGAGTTGAAATGGCATCCCCAGGGGAGGTTCCCCTTGGTTTTGCCAACTAAAGGATTTAGATACTCATGCTGAGGATGAAATTAACAATGAAATGAGAATGCATTGCAAAGGAATGAAGTTCTTTTGTAACTAAATGCAAGCAAACATAAGCTATAAGTGAAAGCAATGAATACCCATTTTATAGCTAGGAAGAAATGAAGAACATAAATGCATTAATGGTGAAAGCTTTAAAAGGGAGTTAAACTTGCAGTGAACTTGTACGGACGAGCATTAATGGCATTCAATGAAGCTCTAAAGATTCTTAAAGGAGATTACAAGACAATGTATTAAAGAAAATGTAGAAATCTGAATTTATCTCTCTATAACACTATTCATCATCTTCCCCAGACTCTCTCTCTCTCTATATTCTTTGTGCAGTGTATGGAATGTTGAATAATGGAGTCATTTCCCCCCCCCCCCAAAATGTTCATAGTCTCCCCCTCAGCTGAGTGATATGATTTTCATCCATGGGCTACAACAAGGAATGGGCTGGACAGGGAAGTGCAGACCCCTGTCTGCACACACAGTAACTCTCTGTCCTCTCCCCTTATTGATCACCGCGGCTCCAAAAAGAGGTATGAAAGGGATGAATAGTGTTGTGGACGTATCAGAGAAAAATGGGAGATATGATGGTGGGTGATGAGCGCATAATATTTCATATTTGATGGCCTCATTACATGAATTTTAACTCAACTTTTGCATCTAAATACTTAGAGTTATCCGAAATTACAAAATTATGAATAATGTTGAATTTTCGATGTTGCAGGTAATTATAGCTTAAATGATGGATTTTAGAACCTTTCAACTAAGTGTGGAGGATTGCTGAAGATATGGACACATTACATGAGGATTTGGAGGCTTAAAAGTGAAAGAAATGAAGGAGGTATTGGTGTTTAGTAACATAGGCATCAACAGCCACACCATTTCGTAGCATTACCTCGGTTTTGCTCCTTTTTTTACGATGATCCACTTCCAATATGAAAACATTCAAAACATGAACATTGTAGATCTAGATATCCTTTATATTGTGTCAAAATTTTAGCTCCATCAGACGGTTGGATAAAAAGTTATGATGATTCTACGAAAACAAGTCTGGAGTAAAAGTGTACTGGTACCCGGAACTCCAGTAGCCTCAGCGTACCGGTACACTCTGCTGAAACAGCCCAGAACACCTGTTTGTCATGCACCACTTGCTTGGGAGTCCCACCATTGATTCTACCACTTGCCCCCTGACTTCCCTTAAACATTTGCATGCCTCCTACACCCTTATTGAAGACTTTAAAGGCTTGGCATTCAATGAGGAGAGAGATAAGGGGTGAAGCCTGGGAGTGTAGGCTAAGTCTGTGGTATCCTGCATTGCCCATCCATTTAGCCCCCTATTGATGGGAGGCCTTTCACACAGCTAGAGGGACTCTCTATGGACGAAAATGCAAGACTCACACTCCATATATTTAACATTCCACAAGACATTGGGGGTGGCTACCTAAGCTTAGAAAATCCAGTGAAGAAGATGATGAATAGTGTAAAATTTATATTTTTGCATTTTTCTTTCCATTTCAATTGTAGTAAGCTTTAAATATCTTTTAGTCTTTATTTCTTGCACTTTAACCTTAGCCATTTCAAGTTCATTGCAAGTTTAGTTGCGTAACTTAGAATCTACCATTGTTGTATGAGTTTGTTTCACTTCAAGTTTTTCATAAAATGGATATTGCATATTTTCTTCTTAGTTTAAGTTTTCTTGCATTAGGTTGAGTTCTAATCTTCATTTCAATATTATGTCTCTTTACATTATGCATTTCCTTCTTGCTTTTATGAGTAGCTAGATTTTAAGTTGGCTAATCCAAGGGAGACCTCCTTTTAGGCATGTCATTTCAACTCATTTCCTTCCCTCCTCTCGATGTATGATGGTTCAATTTGACTGGGTTGAGAGTGAATGTGGTTGTGAGTCTTTGATATTCTGTAGGCCTAGTCACGGTTTATGCTTGGATCCTTACTATCTCGTCTCGAGCTTCCCACGAATCAATTGTTCCTCTATGCACCATTGGGGGAAGGTTTCGAGTTGAGTTGTGTTTCCCATTGGAGTGACCTCTTTGGATTAGCCAACACTTGTTTTGTTACATTTTCATTAAGAACAAAACTCACCAAAACCAACTACAGGATTTTACACTTTTTCTTTCTTTTGTTCACAAAATCACCTTCACACACTTGAACTTTCCATCCTTGAGGAGACGACCTTGGGATATTTTTCCAAGGAAAACATGACATTCAAAAGAATCCTCGCACTTGGGGAGCACTTTTGTTCACAGCATTATACACATTTTGTATATTTCATATTCTCCCATTTTGTTGCCCCTTTTCCCACATCATTCCGAGGGAGAGTGACACTCCCCCATTCCTATAAGTCATACACATTAAGAGATGATGTTAGGCGGTTAGGGACTACAACGAAAACTATCAAGCAGTGGGACTCACAAAGCAACAAAGGATGATCTGCAAATTTTTGGGCAGATTCAACGAAGCATACTGGTACGTCGAACTCCAAAGGCCTAAGCGTACTGGTACGCGTACCGGTACGGTTTGCCTGATTTCTGATTTCTTGATTTTGTAATTTCCTAAGCTATCTACAAGTCATTCTTTCATCCTCATTCACCTCAACAATTTGGGAACGCCTTAAGAAGCATTATTTATCACATCTTTTCTTGCAAAGATCAAATATCTTCGTTACTAGCTCACGTAGTGCAATTCTAAACATTCAATCCCCAAAATTAAGTGAAAAATAGATGATTAGCACATGGTATATGCAATGTTTTTGTTCAAATCACACCCCCAACTTGAGTTTTGCTAGTCCCTTAGAAAAATTTATTTCCCACAACAAGATAACAAGTATAATATAGAACATTCCATTTAAACGAGCAGTTCACCCAATCAATCAAAATATAAAAATTATAATGCAATTATCAAAATAAAATTGGACAAGATTAAACAAAAACTGTGGTTTCTTTCATTACTGTACTTTGAAGTTGGAGTACAAGGATTCAATCATCAAAAAGAACAAAATGGCCTAAAACCTACGGATTCTTCTACCAGGCCAATGAATCCGTTCTAATTACTTACCCTCCAATACAAGCGAAAGAACAAAAACTACAACAACCTATTCCTCGTCCTCATCATCATCATCATCATTGGCATCATCCTCATCATAGTCGCTTCCACCCTCCACATCTTCTTCTGAATCATCCTCATCTTCCTCCACCTCAACCACGGTCGAGGGGGAGGGAATAGATGTAGAAGGGCCAACAGTAGGTGGTGAGGGTCCTCCTGGGATAGTCTTCATGGGGAAGGTGTGCGCAAATAGCTCCTTCATCATCGCCGCCAAGCTCTGCACAAATACCTCAATCCCATGGACTGTAGCCTCCAATGCATTGAGGCGTTGAGGGATAGAGCATTCCGGTGCAGCTATGGTTGGGCCAGCAGATGAAGCTGGTCCGGGGCCCCCATAATCAGAACCCATTGTCTTAACTCGTTTCCCCCGACTCATTGCCTTTCTCTTTTTGCTAATAGTTCTACCAATCTCCCCAGTGTATGGGGGAGAGAGCTTGTCAAACACATAAGTCTTCTCTTTGAAATGCATGCACATCCGGGTTACCAAATTCCCGTATGGCAAATTTATCATAGGCTTCTGTGTATTGGCAAAGTCTTTCATGACTTCCCATATCACAAGGGCAAAGTCAACAGTTTTCCCCAACATAACAATGTCCAACAGACCCAGCTTCTAAAGATTTGGTTTCTTTTCAGAACCCCTTGGTAAAAAGATTGTAGTGGAGAAACTTATTCAACAATCCATACGAATGTTTCAATCCCCCACTTTGAACAAGTCCCTTGATTTTACTAGGGTCCTCATACATGAATCTTACAAATTCAGAAACTTTCTTGGCTTGGGTGTTGCTATGAGGATAGGGTGGTGAAAAATTTGGTGGCCTCTCATAGTTCCTTAGAAATGTTGCAATAACATCAGGGGTCACCACAAACATTTTACCCCGGACATTCATTTTCAACACTTCCACCTCATTCACATCCGCCACCCTAAGAGTTTGATAGAACTCTCTACACATTGACAAATTAAAACCATCAACTGATTCAAACCAGAATTTCATACCATGTGCCTCAATGATTCAAACAACTTCGTTCCTTGGGGTAAGGGAAATGTGATCAAGGGACCTTTCACAGGTCACATTTTTCTCTTAGATCAATTTCATCAGTGCCTAATGCCTTGCCTTCTTCCTTTGCTCACCTTGGTTCTCGCTTGGCCCTTTAGGTTGAGGGTTGTCGGGTCTGGGCCTTTTAGTTCGAACCATGCACAACAACAGTGCCCCCATTGTCAGAAAAGTGAAGAGAGTCAAGAGGAGACCTTCAATGAAGTCCATAGCATCATAGGGCAATTTGAGAATTGAAGGGAAATGACAGATTGAGCGATTTTCGGCACCTACGGTTTCCAAGATTTGATTTCCTAAATCATAGCACAAGGGAGAGTATTTGAAGGGTTGAAGGAATATGAAGGAGATTTGGAAGTCTAAGTGAAAATTCGGGTGAGAGAGTAGTGAAAAAGGTGGTGTAGTTTAAGAGGGAAGTGAAAGGGATTCCTGAAAGAAATTGATGAAAAAACCCTAACTTTTGGAATTCCAGGTAAAGCGTACCGGTATGTCACACTCCAGAGGCCTACACGTGCCGGTTGGCCTTAGTTGCAAAAGAATTCATGCTGGGCAAGCTTTCCCACTTCTTTTTCATTTTAAGACCTCCCCTATACACCCTAACACTCTCTTTGTGACCTCTACTCCACCCTAAACATGTACTCCACTTGTAAACCACAATTTGAGTCATCATGCCCAATTAATTACCGAAATTGCGATGTGATTTAAATTTTGATGCATTCAATGTACAAAGAATGGATTTCTAACTTTAACTATCAAAACGAACACCCAAAATGCAAATCACATAATTAATAAAATGGGCATTCCTAATTCATCCGGAATATCAAAAAATTGAGCAATATTCCCCTATTCTATAGGTATGGAACTATTTAACACATTTCTCAGATGATTGAACTAAGCACACACAAGTAAAACCATAGTCTCAAATACTAGTCTAAAGTATGCACCTACAAATTCATTTTCAACTCTTTTGTGTGTGAATTAAACAAGTAATTTGAGCATTTACACAACAAAATTTACATTCGAATAGCCTGCCAAATTTAGTTTCAATGCAAAACTCACCGGAGGTCACTCTTGAACAATGAAGTGCACTCTAGTTCCCCTGGTATGCCCTCCATGTGTACATGTGAGATAGAATCTGGTGTTCAAAACAAAGTGTACTCACATGCAATCCAAAAATGAAGTTCATATATGAACAATAAAACAACCTTGGCATAATCTCATGAAAGGAATGCTAGGGCATTAGACAACTAAACCAACTTCTCTTGTTCTTTAAAAGTATGCTTCCCCCATGCTTTCTCTAGATCATTTAGGACTTTCAAGGGTTGTAATGAGGCCTTGGGGTGGTAATGAGGTAAGTGAAATGAAGGATATAGGATGACAAAGAGGGTTGTTTTGAGTGAATGACCTTTATTTCAAAAAAATCTCCCTTTTATGGGATTTCTAGGCTAACATCATCACCACACTCTTTGTTTATTTTCTTTCTTTTCTTTGACATTTTCCTTTTCTTTTGTTCATTCTTTTCTTCTTCTCACCCATTTTCTTCCTTTTCTTGGATTTTCATTCCTTTCCATTGAACTCTTTGAGTTACAACATCATTCATCCCTTTGTTTGAGTTTCCACACCACCTTTCCTTTAGTTTTTGCAATCACTCATATTTAGCTTCAAGGAACAACCAAGGTAAGGTAGATATTTCTTATTTTCATTGGCTTGGTCAAATGTGTGGCATAGAAACGAATTTAAACTAAGCTCAATCACGATACTAGGGATAATTTTTTCACAAGAAAAAGGGCTAAGGCTCAAAGTATTTCAAAGATAGCCTAAAATCACTTCCAGGTATGCATGGGATGGCATTGTATAAACGAAACAAGTCAGTCTACTATCCAGATGCACCTAACCAAAACAAGTATGATGAGACTATTGAACAAATTTGACATTGAAAAATTGTTCTTTGAGTAAATGTAAGTTCCCTCCAAACAAGGATTGGCATTAAAGCTCACATGAGCTCTTACTCATCTCCACCACTTATGTCAAGCCTAAAACATGAATCCAATCCATAAATTGCTGAAATTACACATTCAAAGGTCACATACAATTGAGTTCAAAAATCAATACATATGTGATACTCATGCATAAGGTTAGTTTCCATGGTATGCTCATGTGCTCAAAGTTCACAACAAAGAAAAATATGTCATCCAATCCACACACTGTTCATAAGGGAATACATATCAACTTTTAGATATTTTCCATAAAAAATTTTCACATATTTTTCACTAATGCAACAAAAATTATGTGTGATATATGTGATAGGTGAATTGTTCACCCAAAAATTGGTCTTGTCCGCAAAGATTTTCACAATATTAGTGTAACATGAAAATGGTGCACCTCACCCCCCAACTTGAATCATGAATTGTCCTCAATGCAACAAAAAAGTTATGATATGCAAAGAGGGACAGTAAAAAGATGAATAGGGCTAGAGAACACCTCGCGATTTATTTTCAACAAAAGCACCAATATCTGAAACAACGTAAACAAATCTATCCAACCAAATAAAGTAAGTGACATAAAATAAAAGTAACATAAGGAAATAAAAGCAATTGTACAATAGAAAGCATAGACACTAGCTACTCCCTGACCAAGTCCAGATATACCGGATCCGTCAAATCCTCCGTCACCTCTTTCCCTTCAAAACTCTCGAAGAATGAGTTAAATCTTTGGCCATTGACCTTGAATGTTTGGCCGTCCTCGGGGTTTGTGATGTTAACAGCTCCGTTGGGGTAGGCCACCTTGACAAGATAGGGGTCATCCCAATGGGATCAAAGTTTTTCCTGCAAAATTGAGAGGCGAGAATTGTATAAGAGCACTTTTTGACCGGGCTAGAATAATTTCCGTACAATGGAATTATCGTGAAGGATCTTAGCCCATTCCTTTGACATATTGGAGCTCTCATATGCATCTCATCGAATCTCTTCCAACTCATTCATTCCAACTTCCTATATTCACCGGCCATTCTCAAGTTGAAATTTAAAGTTTTATAGGCTTTGTGTTCCATTTCGATTGGAAGGTGGCAAGTATTTTTCCATAGATAAGCCAGTAGGGAGACATGACCAAAACAGTTTTAAAGGCAGTGCGGTATGCCCATAGGGCATCGGTCAATCTTTCAGACCAAACCTTCCTATTTAGGTTAACCATTTTTTCTATAATGTTCTTGATCTCCTTGTTGGCTAACTCGGCTTGGTCATTTGTTTGTGGGTGATAGGTAGTGGATACTTTGTGAGTGATGTCATATTTGAACATTAGAGATGCAAATGACCTATTATAGAAATGTGATCCACCATCACTTATTATTGCATGAGGCATCCGAAACCTCAAAAAGATGTTCTCCTTGAGAAACTTGACCATGACTTGGTGATCATTAGTCTTGGTCGGGATAACATCCACCCATTTGGACACATAGTCCACTACCAGGAGGATGTACAAACAACCAAATGACACAGGGAAAGGACCCATGAAGTCAATGCCCTAACAGTCGAATATTTCTATGTAAAGTATTGGTGAAAGGGGCATCATGTTTCTTTGGGTCACATTACCCAACCATTGGCATCTGTCGCACCCCTTACAAAATGAAACACAATCTTTGATAAGAGAGGGCTAGTAAAAACCTGATTGAAGAATATTGGCCGAAGTTTTTTTCGTCGAGAAATGTCCACCGCAAGCTTGTGAATGGCAAAATGCAAGGACGTCCCACTGTTCATTTTTAGGTACACAACTTCTCATGATTTGATCGGGGCTGTACTTGAACAAATACGGGTTGTCGAAGTAGAAGTACTTCACATTCGCCATAAATCATCTTCAATCTTCTGGGCTCCATTACGGTGGTATCTGTCCTGTTGCAAGATAGTTACCTATATCAGCATACCAAGGATATACATAATGAATTGAAGAAAAATGCTCGTCAGGGAAAAAGTAAGGGATATGAATGTGCTCATCTGCCTCTTGCACCACAAGCCGAGACAAATGATCCGTCACCACATTCTCAACTCTTTTCTTGTCCTTGATCGTCAAGGCAAATTCAGGAGGAGTATCCACCTAATGAGTCTCGATTTTGGATCCTGCTTAGACAACAAATACCTCAAACCAGAGTAATCAGTAAAGACAATAATAGGTGAACCAATGATGTAAGAACGGAATTTATTTAAGGCAAATACTATTGCTAGCATCTCTTTCTCGGTGGTAGTGCAATTCATCTAAGCCTCACTAAGTGTTTTGCTAGCATAGTATATCACATATGGTCTATTTTTCTCCCTCTGACCAAGTATTGCGCCGACAGCGTAATTACTCGCGTCGCACATGAGCTCAAAAGGTAGATCCCAATTGGGTGGTCGCATGATCGGAGGTGTGACTAGCATGCTTTTAAGTTTTTTAAAAAATGCCTCACAATCATCTGACCACTCAAATGGGACCTCCTTAGACAGTAGGTTGGTTAAGGGTCAGGCCAATGCACTGAAGTTCTTTATGAATCGACGATAAAACCTGCATGGCCCCAAAATTACCAGATGCCCTTGATGGCTCCTAGTGTGGGGAGGTTGGAGATGGCCTTTAACTTGGATTTATTGACTTCAATACCCCTTGCCGAAACTATATGGCCAAGCACAATTCCTTTCGTCACCATAAAGTGACACTTTTCCCAATTCAAGACTAGATTCTTCTCCTCACATCTTGTTAGAACTCTTTCAAAGTTTGTCAAACATCCCTCGAATGAGTCCCCAAACACTGAAAAGTTGTCCATAAAGACCTCCACTATCTTTTTCACCATGTCACTTAAAATCCCCATCATACAGCGTTGAAACGTCCCTGGGGCATTGCATAGTCCAAATGGCATGCGGCGGTAGGCAAAGGTACCATAGGGGCACGTGAAGGTGGTGTTTTCTTTATCCTCCAAAGCAATCTCAATCTGATTGTAGCTGGACTATCCATCTAAAAAGCAGTAGAATAGATGCCCCACTACTCGTTCTAGAACTTGATCGATGAATGGCAATGGGAAGTGGTCTTCTTGTGCAAGCGTTCAGCTTTCGATAATCAATGCACACCCTCCATCCGGTGATTAGTCTTGTAGGTATAAGCTCATTCTCAACCACTGTAACTTCGAATTTCTTAGGTACTACTTGCGTGGGGCTAACCCATTTACTATCGGCGATTGAAAAAATAATCCCCACATCAAGTAGTTTCAGAACCTCATCCCTCACCACCTCCTTCGTGATGGGATTCAACCGTCTTTATAGTTGTCGAGAAGGTTTGG